AGAGCGGAAAGCCTGTCCTCCGTGAGCTCCAAAATGAGCCCTGGCAAAGACACCACCATGCCTAGGGCCGGAAGGAGCCTCAGCCGCAGCGTCATGTCCTCACCCACCAACTCGGGCCTCTCCCAGTCGGCAGGGGCCTCCCTGAAGGCCAGCCAGTCGAAGATCTCCGCCGTCAGCAAGCTCCTGCTGGCAAGTCCCAAGGCCCGCAGCCTGTCTGCCTCTGCCACCAAAACGCTCAGCTTCTCGACCAAGTCCCTGCCTCAGTCCGTAGGGCAGAGCTCCAGTTTGCCTCCGAGCGGGAAGAACATGTCCTGGTCAACGCAGTCCCTCAGCAGAACCCGGGGCTCCAGCCTGGCTTCCAAATTGCCCCTTCGGGCCGTCAACGGGCGGATTTCAGAGCTGCTCCAAGGGAGCGCCGGGGCCCGAGGCTTACAGCTGCGGGGAAGCTCGGAGGCGGACGAGCGCGGGGGCCTTCCCGGCGACGAGAAGCCAGCTGTCCACATGCTGCCTTCACCTTACAGCAAGATCACCCCTCCTCGGAAACCTCACCGCTGCAGCAGTGGCCACGGGAGCGACAACAGCAGTGTCCTGAGCGGGGAGCTGCCCCCCGCCATGGGGAAAACGGCCCTCTTCTACCACAGCGGGGGGAGCAGCGGCTACGAGAGCATGATGAGGGACAGCGAGGCGACGGGGAGCGCCTCTTCAGCACAAGACTCCCTGAGCGAGAACAGCAGCTCCGCCAGCGGCAGGTGCCGAAGTCTCAAAAATCCAAAGAAGCGATCAAACGCAGGTAAGCCCACGGTGGTGTGAAAGAGGGACGAGGGGTGCTAGCCCTAAAGGTCAGCGCATTCCCTACCAGCTATATCTCTTAGCAGAGAAGCGAGGCCAGGGTAAGTGTCCTAGGCTCCGAGTTTCATCATTCTGCAACACGCACAAATCCACTGCCTTTGCAGTGGAGTCTCCCCCTCACCCGTTTCACTTTGGTTTACTTCACATGAACAGAAGAACATTTATCCCTAAAACTGGTTAGTATTGCCAATGGCAGCCACATCCAAGTATTTATTTATACAAATATTCTTCTGATTTGATTGCAGAAAGATGCCTTTGTGAGGCAGTGGAATGCAACTGTTATTCTTAAGCACTTTGGGCACAGACTCCCCTCTCGGTGTGCACAGGTTTCGCCAGCACAAGACCAGCGTCGTGCTGAATAGCAGTGTCTGCTCTGAGCCCGCTTTTGCTCCTTGTGCGCTCTGGATGCCCCAAGGTGCAAGACGCCCCACAGCTGAAACCACTGCAGAGTTCCTTCTCCCCACCTAGAAGATGGAACAAAGTTGTGCCCATACCCCTTGAAAGATGTTATCCTGCCTCTGAGACTCTTGTTTTTTAACTTTTGAGTTGAGAGTCCTTCTTTTCCCAGTAATTTATTGGTAACAAATAGTAAATTATATTAATATATGGGAACTGCTGCACTGAAGCACTTGCAAAATCTGAAACCTTTTTAGTGATCATAGAAAGGATCTGAAAGTCTTCATTTTGTTCAGATATAATCCCCAGTAGCTTTCACCCTACATCAGGACATGTAAGAGCATCCTATGTCATCCCAAGAGTCTGTGCAGTTGTGACAGGTACATGTTCCCACCAGAACGAGTTTCAGAAAATTGCGGGACAGGGATGAGGAGCATCCATCAGCTGGTCACCTCACTTTTTTCCTGGGTGCTGCTTTCCCAACCTGAAGTGCAAGTCCTGCCTAACCTGCTTTCGAAAAAAATGCAGGTTGGCGTTGGAACTGGTGCGCACAGGTATGTGAAATATCAGTGGCTACTTATCCTACAGTAGCGCTGGCTGTCCAAAATGTGGTGTTCTTACAGAGTTCCTAATTCACCAGCCATTCCACTTGCTGGGATACTCGCCTCTGGGATTAATTTGCAGTGAATGAACTGAATAATGCATAACTCTCACTTTCTTTATGCACTTGGCTGTGGTAGTAGGAAGAACATGTGCAGCACAGATGTGAATGCAATAGATACCGCTATTAAAACCATATCCATAAGTGCATGGCTGTTGTACCTGTTGAGAGGATGCCTCTGAAAGTGATCGCTCTACATGGTGCAAGCACAGACCAAGTGATGAAATAAATTTTCTGAAATTAACTTTGCATCCTATGAGAAAACCTCTTTCCTATCCCTCCAGTTTACATGGTAATAAATTGATTTTCTGCTTTCTGAGGAGCTGTTCCTCTTAACAGCTCCTATATAAGATATAAGCTTTTTAGTAGTAACCTGCAAGAAAAAGAAGGATGATTTGTATGTTGTGGAAAAGGAAAATGAAGCTGTCCAGAGAGATGGCATTTGTGGGTGTATGCTGACAACTGGATTGTGTCCTGTGGAGAAGCTGCCCATATAATATGGACTTTTTCCACAGGACATTTAGATGCAAAAATTTATCAGGCTCTGTGGAAGCAAGCAGCTGTGCAGATGAGCGAACAGAAAGAAAATGGCAAGGTAGATTTCTCCTTTTGAGACACTAGAGAACATCCCCTTTCCCTAGGGGAGATGCTTTAAAAAAATACTCTGAGAAAGGCTTCAAGCAGAGCCTGCGGACTCTTCAGACTCCAGAGTTCATCCCAAACCTAGGTCAGCAGAAGACCAGGATTTGTTTACTCTCATGCTCATAAAACTACTCGTTTCCTTTCACTTCTCTCTGCTTTGGTAGGACATTGGAGGCTGGACAAGGCTGGAGGTAGGAGTGAGAAAAACATTGGCTTTGTGTTGTAATTTCAGAAGAGCTTCAGATCTGTGTGTTGTACTTTATACCAGGGTTGTATTTTGGCTCACAGCTTTGACTTTCGGTAAGCCCTGCGCAGGCCTGAACGTTGTGCCCGTGGCCGTGAAAAGGGAGTTAGGAAGCGAGGAGTGTTTGAGACCCAGGTTTCAGGTTGCTCTTGGAGAGGCTTTCCATGGTCCAGCCAGCCTCGAGCCTGCCTGGCAGAGCCGCGACGCTGGGTTGTCGTGCTGTGCGGGGATGCAAAGGCAGCGAGCGAGGGGCGAGCCCGAACCTTTCCTTCGCTGGGGACATGGGGAGTCTAAGCTTTGCTGCTTTTTTATTGCTGTGTAGCATCTGACCTGTCTTTTTCACCAAATACAGCATTTTTGGCTGGCCAACAGATTAATATCTTTCTTCTACTTTCTTGTGTGGGTTAGTTCCTCTCTCCTTGGTCAGCAATGTTGCAGCTATCTACCTGTTGCTGGACCTGAATCTCTGGGGTGGAGGGTTTTCAGTGGAAGGCCTGTGTCCCTGGGAGGTGCCTGCCCCGGGGGGCTCGGGATAGCCTGGCACGTTGACCTCCCTCAAAGTACTTTGCAAAGCTTCTCTCTTAATTCAGCCTGTCACCTGACGTGGAGAGATTCGGAGTGTGTCGTTTCTGAGAGTTTGCTTTTGAGAGCGAGTCCCTATATCAGCAAGTGATTCCTGTATTGTTTTGAATGACTTGTATTTGCATATAAGTACAACCAGGGGTTTTATGCAAATTTAAAAAAAAAAAATCTTTACCACCTCCCATATCTCTAGCAGCAAACCACTGCCCAGAAATTAATAAGGCTTCACTTTCTTATAACCCAGCTCCTGTTTGCATTTGGTCCTGCAGCAGTGAAATCATAATTCTGGTTTGATGTGTTCGGTAATAGTATAATTTTTCACATGTCAGCGGATTTATGGTGGCATAAAACCGGGATTATGACTTCAATGCAGGAAAACATGAAGGAGGAGCTGAGATATAAGGGAGAATAGAGCTGTTCACAAATATATTTTTATTGCATAATAAACAAAAAAACATGCAAAGGTTTGCGATCTTTCATCCTCTGTAATATCTCCTTTCTATAGGTCTGTTCTAGTGTGAATTTTCTCTCTTAAGGAACACTTTTTTAATGAAAAAGATGGCAGACAAAGGTTCTGAGCTCCTAAAAGACAGATATAATTTTAATACATAGTGTCAAGAGCATTGGACCTTTCCTGATTTGCGGTCACAGATCCACTGTGCTGTAATGGATATGGCACTATAGATATGCTCATTTCAGGTCAGGCAACCTTGTCCACTTTATTTATGATTATTATTAACAGAAATGCTAGCTGTCAGACACGATCAACATGAATCAGCCCAAGGCCCCTGTAAGAGGAGCTATAAAGAGTCTTTAAGAGAATCACCAGCAGATCTCACAATTACTTTTGAAGTTCTGACACATTGGAGAGACATCATTTTTTTCTTGAGATTAAGATCTTGTCTTTCAATGCTCTTAAGTGCATTATTTGTATGTGTAGGTGCTTCTACCCTGGATGTCATACATGAAGCATCAGACCTACACTGGCAGCTTTTGAAAGATAAAGCTAAATCATATCCTTCAGTGTTAGCCTTAGGTTAAATTTTGGGCTCTGCCTGGGTACCAGTGCAGTTCACAGATGGCCCAGTATTGTGTATACAAAATCAAAAGAAAATAATAATAATAATAAAAAAATTGCCTCCTGCATTCTGGTACCTATTGAAAAATCATGTGTTTACATCATGAAGCACATAAGCCTTTCCCCGAACCTATCCATTTCATAAACATTCCCATCTTTCTAGATTTAACATTGGTCCTATAGCATCATGTCAGCATATATTGCCCCAAAGTGACTGCTTATGGCAGAACCAGAGCTATTTAGCCCTGATCTACGGCTGTACGTTCCAAAGCTTTGTACAGCTGCTCTTTAATCCACCCTCTGGTGTAAGTATTATTCCAGACCCCATTTTACAGATGGAGAAATGAAGGCAGAGGACTTTACTGAGTTGCCCAATGCCTCCAGCTAAGCGAGGGCCAGAGCCAGGGTTGAACTGGAGGCACCCTTGACTCCTGCCCTCAACCCCGACCAACTTGGCCGCACACCTTCCCCTGCCCTTGCGGAGTGGCGGAGAGGAGGGTTTTGTTTGTTACTCTCTTCTTGTGGCAGGCCCTTCCTCCCTCTCCGCCCGCAAGCGTCCGTGCAACTCTGCGTCCTCCGGTGCCTTTGCTCACTCCGTTAGCCTTTTCCCACTGGAAGAAACAGTTGGCATCTCGGCCGTATTTCTGGCTCTAGTCTCCTCTCTCGTGGGTAGGCAGCGCTGTCTTGTGCAGGGCACTGAAATGTTAGGGTGTGGTTTGTACAGTCATCGCTAGCACCAATTATAGATTATTTTTTAATTCTTCAGAAATCTCAGGTGCAGTGGCCCAGTGCTGCCCCGTGGAAGGGCAATGATAAGGGTGCTTTCATAGTACGTCCTCCGGTATGCGGTCGGGAAATGCCCTCCGTCTGAACTCCGCTTTACCGAAGCGTATTGGTATCCCGGGAGCACAACAGGTATCAGCGGGAGGCAGGCGGGGTGGCAGATTGGGACTTCCAAGATCTATGCTGTATTCTCCGGTGTGCTGCCGGTTCGCTGTATCACCTTGGGCGACTTGTGTCATTTCTGTGTTCCCTGGTTACCAGCTCATAAAACTCGATAACGATGGTGTGAACAAAGTCACAGCAGGGTCCTTAGATCAGAAGTGTTACCTACCTGCTTTTTGCTCTTCTGCTTTGGTTTTTAGCATCTTTTCCCTAGTTTAGCTTGCATGTATGTGGGCATTACTTTAAAATCATTCTCAATGCAAAACATGGCTGGGTGATTTCAGAGATGCAGCTTTGGTGCTAGCTCCAGGTCCTGCCGACTGTGACCTAACAGCAAAGCAAGAGCACAGGCTCTAATGAAGTTTACCCAGTAAATGTTTGCATTCTCACGTA